ATATATATATATTATATATATATATATATATATATATATATATATATATATATATATATATATATATACATATATATGTATATATAATATATATATATTGTCCGAGAGTGACCATTGTCACTTGATGTATTAAAATCTGAATATGTGATTTTAAATACTGGTCACGATGACTGGGAGGAATTTTTGTTTAATGTTTAGACTGGTTCACTTTTGATCATTGGCTTGTTTCAAACATGTGAGTCTACCCACATGAAGTATTGTATAAGAAATGCTGATTAGCCGGGTCACTTGTATTCTGTAAATAGATGTTATCAAACCCTTCGACCCCCACACTTCAGCTATCGTTAGCTCAGCCGGTTTGTTTTAAAAGGAAAAAAAACAACAAACAACGTAGTTGATTTTTTAAATCCCGTACCTTTACACAAAGGGATCTCCCGTTTAAAAAAAAATAATAATATTAAAATTAACTTTTTTTATCTTCATTTTAACATTATTTGTTCATGTATATACATAGTTATACCACACTGTCTATGGAATAAAGTATGCTAGGAAAAGTTCGGTTTGCTCACGTCAATTTTAAAGAAACAGTTTTCGAAAATAAGAAAGTCCAACAAGCGTAGCAACGGATGAATGAAGTGAAGTTGTGAGTGGTGTAAATGTCATGCCTGGAAAGCAGGTCCTGGGGGGGGGTTATGTCCGCCCCGGGTAGTACTCCACCCTGGGCTGTACATTATTTTCTTTATATTGAGGGGGGGGGGCACTTTTGTCAGGCTGCAGAGCTTTTTTCATTTTTGGAGTGGACCTATTATCATATATTTTAATTTAATCTGCACTTGCAATCGATGTAGTTCAGTAAGTATCCAGCAAAAGCCGTATACTGTACATTCACTCTTAATTGTACGATTTGATTACAAATGGCTCATGTGTCACAGGCTTATCCCCATAAGTCAGGATTATCTCACCAGCACGTGTTCACAAAAGCTTTGTGTTGACTAGAGATTAGGTTGGCGCGAGATTAGAATGCCGTGGGTTTAGAGTGACATGGACCGGGACAGCTCTCAAAACCGGATTTGGACCTAAAGGCTTATCTCAGTGTGAACCCCTTGACTTCAGAGCTTCCCAAGTTTTACTCTTGTTGTTAAAAAAAAATAATAATATGACCGCTGGTATCAGGTTGTTTTTGAAATTTATATATGCAGCAGAGTGAGAGGGTCTCGGTGGTGGTGTTAAGTGACTGGTTACTAGCGAGTGGAGTGTGGTGTATGTGTGCGTGTGTGACACACCTTTAACAACCCTGCTCACAGCGCCAAAATGCAGTAGAGTGAGGTCTGGTTATGGCGGGTGATGGTGATTGGTTGTACTAAGATTGTCAGTTAATAATATAAAAAAAAATGAAGGCATCCTGGTCTCGAGGACTATAGCTTTATTAAACTCTAAAGTAAAAGTGCTAAGAAGGGAAATGTCCTAAGGAAAAGGACATTATCTGAAAATAAACAGAATGTACAGATCAATAATGTCCTGACTATCATCGCTAACAATAAATATGTTACATAACTACGTAATTACAAGTGGGGACAAAATATACTTAACGAAGAATGCAGTATATGTACATGCTATGTGTTATACAAACGAAAATGAACAGTACATTGTTCTAAGAATGTGTAACTATAAAAGAAAGCACATGACTGTGTTTAATTTGTAGCACGTACACTGTGCTAGTGCTACACACAGAACCAGGGTGAGATGTGAGGGCTGACATAACGATCTTGAAATTATTATGGTATGCTATCCAGGTATGGTGTCTATGTAAGAACGACACATAGCAGGGCAGTTAATACAGTGGCATAAAGTATGACCACCGTTAGAAGATACCATGTGGATAATAGTGAAATGTTTAAACAAAGAGGGATATCCTATTTAATAACGTGAAGTATACCGGTAAATATTTGTAAACAAAAATGAACTAAGGACAAGCAAGTTTATGACACTAATCAAACGCCTCTAAAACACTGTTGAAGCAGCAACTTATATCATCACTTACAACATGATGAGATACTTGCAAGGGTCATAACTCAACTAAAAAAAAAAGGTCAACAAAAAATAAATACCTTTAAAAAGTTTTTTCCCTTAGCTTAAAAACAGACCTGCAATCACGTCACCCTAAAAAAATTAAACCCTCCCTCCATCAAACGCTAGTAAGGAGATAAAATTAACAAAAAATTCAAGAAATCTATACAAAAGGATGTTTTACTAGTACGTTTTCAATTTCAATTAAAAAAATTAAATAAACACAACTTCACCGTACATTATGCGTGAGTTATGCGAACCAGAATTGTACAACAATAAAAAAATAAAGGAGAACACAGGATTTGTAATCATAAACATTGATATATTTATTAAAATTTATTCTGATACATAAAAAAAAAAAAAAAAAAAACACACTTAAGAAAATATTAATTCATTTTAAAAAAAAAAAAAAAAAAAAAAACAAAAGATTTGTAAACAAAAAAAATAAAATATTTAATAAAAATTATTCTTAAAAAAAAAAAAAAAAAAAAAAAAAACACACTTAAGAAAATATTAATTCATTTATATGATATATGTAAGATTTAAGCCTAATCAATTGAGCCGAGCCTCATGTTGACCCGGGTACTCGGAAATGCCGCCTTTCTCACACCCGGTCTACAGGTGGAACCCGGTCAGTGATATTAAACCTGGTCCGGGTGTTTAAAAGATATTTGATGAGAAGTTTTCAAAATACGTTTTGTATGTTTTTTCATTTAAAATAAATAGCAATAGAAAACTGACTAACGTTTTGTGTGAAATCAAATGTAAGATTAACGAAAACAGAACAGGATATTAAACTAATAATGTAGATGATGTGAAAAAATTAAGATGTCGACATAAAGCCTTCAGCGAAAAAAGAAAAAAAATATATAGCAAATCTAGAAGTTACTATAATCACTTACATGAAAGAGTAACAGAGAGGACAGAGAGGACAGCAAGTAGAATGTAATATATAATTAGTTTGTAAGGGGGTTAATGTAATCAAAAGTTGAAGGAAGAGAAGTATAGTAAATTCACAGAAAATTGCTATTGAAACTCAGTTGAAAAAATCCTCTGGATTGTTCAATTTCTATTGAGATAGCAATCTGTTGTCAATATCACCGAAATTCATCTTCTAGCCACAGCTCCTTACAAAACAAAATTGGCATCTCGGGCAGAGTGTTTGCATTTTTTGTCGTTGAATTTCTATTAAAGACATAATTGAAGAAAACCCTGGAGCACAACGATAGAATTGTATTTAATATATCTTTTGAGGAGGATGTATTTAGTTTTTAATTTTTTTTTTAGATGCTTCGTTTCATTGAATTACGAGAGATCAAATTTCTAAAGGGCACTAACACTTGATTTCTAAAGAAACATGCTAAAAAACGCTTTCCTCCCCTAGAATCATTGTGGCAAAATAAAATTAAAGAAACAATTATTTTTATAAACATTTTGTGTCATTATACAAATAAAGATATA